TTCCTTCCTCTGCCGCGGCGAGCGATTTAGTAGGAAGCTTCTGATGTTGATTTATGTACTTTGCATTGGAGATGCCTCTTCCTCCGGACTCGGCTCTTTGTAAACAATTATAGAAATTATAGAACGCCGAAAGGAATTCCTTTGTAATTTACTGTCGATAATCTGCCTAATTTGTATACTCGCGTTGGAGAAGCAATTCTCTCGATTACAAGAATTGGGGGATCTTGCATCTGTTTCAGTTTGCTTCAATTTGCTCGAATTTTTCAATTGAAAATGCGAGTTTTTTTGTCATGCCGCGCTGGCCAAGAGTTGTTTATGATGTGTTGTTGATGTGCCTGCTGCTCGAAAGCTTTTGTGTATTTTATTTTTCATTTTTCATTTGTGTTTTTTCTTTTTCCCCCAGCGCTGCGTGCGAAAGAAAATGTGTGAAAACTCGCGGGGCAGTGGAAACTATTTTCACTTGCTTCCTTTTAGGCTAGTTGAGGTGGTGGATTACTGGTTTTTCTGGCCATTTTTTCCTGCCTGCACTTTAATTACATTCTATTGGCCACCGTGGAGCCGTAATTAGCCCGGCCAGCTCTGGTTAACCATTAGAATCTGCTGAATTTATATTGAAAAATACTGTACCATGGGGGAAATCTAAAGAAGAATTGTTTTTTTGCATTACAACACGCTTTTTTCGTTGTCCGGCGACTGCCACCCGCCGGCCTTTAGACAGTTTTAATTAAATTCCCAATGGGCGGAGCGGAAAGCGATGTCGCGCCATGGAAACTCCCCATGTGGTCCTTCTTATGGTTTGTTATTAGTCCCCGTCAGCTGTGAATTAAGCTTTCACTTCTTTAACATGCAAACCATTTCAGACTCGGATACATTGGTTTAAAAAGGCAATAAAATGTTTATAAATAGATTGGTGGTCTACACCAATAGTCTAGTATGTGACATTTAAAGTTGATATAACTTTTCAAAGGAATCACTTTTAACGATGGTCTACACAGCGTATACGTAATATTTATAATAATGGTCTGCACTGCGTATACGTAATATTTATTGGTGACATTTAAATTGATTTACAAAACAATTGAAAAGCTTATTTTACTTGATATATTAAAATATAAATACAGCTGTGTTAAAATAATATATTTAACAAATCTGTTTTAAACAAATTTATAAGTTATGTATAGGTCTTTTGTACTAATTTTCTAAGGAATTTACTATTAATGGAGTGAACCAATTTAAAGAGGGCAATTTCGCTTAATAAATGCTTATATAAAAATATAATAAATAGCAATAAAATTATTATTGAACCTTTAAAACAATGTGATACAACAAATTGATAAACAGTCTTTGTCAAACAAATTGGAATACAGGCATGTCGTAATGGATCTGCCAGTCACTCAATTTTGAAAATTGTCACTGGAGCCGAAAAATGACAGTTGTGAGGGTCAGAAAGGGTTCAAAAATCACAAGCTATAAATAACAAAAAAGAGTGTGGAGTCCCGGGAATCCATATCAAAATTTTTAAGAAGGCGGACTGGCGAAAAATGCGAGTTCGCTCAATTACCGAAATTGCATATGCACAACCTGTTAAAAGTGTGATAAAGAACCGACAAAATAAAAGCTTGGAAATGAGAACCGGACAAACAAGCAAGAAATTCACCCAAAAAATGCGTCATATGTTTTTCTTTACCATATTCTTTAGTTTTTCATGGAATTCAGGAAAAAGCAGAGCCATAAAAAGATCACAATAAATGGACACTGCGCTTGTAGTGGCTGATACATATATGTATGTATATTTCCCGCACATCAATATTTACTTTACCGCTTTTAAAAGGCTTCCTTTATGTTCATTCAGTTTGGTGACGCAACGCATAATTGCTGCCGAAAAACCTCAAGTGATGATGTAAATATTTACATAGCTAATAGAAGCCACTTTTTACGCTCCTTGTGCGTAAATAATAATCGAGAAATAATAATAATAATAATAAATAACAATGGTATTCGGGCCAAGAGCTGTAATTAACCAGCTGGAAGTCGGCGTGCGGAAAGATTTCAGGCTCGAGTCAATACGGAGAAATGTGAAAAACAACAAGAGGAAAATTATGCTGATTGCCGTGGGATCTCCTCCACTTCTTGGTCTGTTTGCTCGGTCAAAATACATATTTGACAGGCCCTGCGGGGTTTTCAAGCACCGCCAGAAGTTTTCCACAAAAACGCCCCCGTAATTAGAATAATTATTACCGCTAGGCGCAAATGTTTTTTAATGGCTCTTTCACTCCTTGACATTGTTCAACGATAATTACGGCCAATACCTGTGGGGCCCAAAATGTTTAAGAAAAGAGTGTGTCCTGGGTCTTAAGTGCTGGAAGTAATAGCACTTAACTGCCGGAAATGTTACGGTTAAGAACGACGGAAGAACAAGGAAAATTGGATAGGTTATAACAAGGCCCTTAAAGGTCTGTTAGGTTCAAGCAATATAAACACTGAAAATATCACAAAATGTATGAACAAGTTTGACTTGGAATAATGCAATTCCAAAAATCAAATACAATAACAAACTATTTTTGCTAACCAAATTGGTTTTAGGAATTTTCCAATATAATTCTGAAAGTCGATATCCAAATCGCATTAGTTCCAAGCATTCTGAAAACCACGCAGTTTCAAATCAAAATATACCAAAATTAATACTCAGTAAAGTTGATTTCTTTGAAACAAAAAAATAATTACCGGAAGCTTTGTTTCACGAATTTTTCCCCAGTAACTGAACGTCTCAGAGGCCATATTTATGTTGGCAAGGGAAAGATTACATCATTGTTTTCATTTTATATTCCAGAGCCCACACAATTTGAATCGCAAATAGCCCATCAATCTTGCTGCCGCTGAATAGTGTGAAATTAATTCAAATTAATGGCAATCATTGCTCATCTCTGCGTCTGTCAAATGACGTCGCCATATTTAACCAGTGTTTGTCTTCCGCTTAATCACCCATCCTTTGGCGAATAGTCGGCTATTTATAACTCGGAATCCCACTTCCTTCCCAATGCCATTAAACGGCTGTGAAGAAGGCGGACTGAATGCAAACAAGGCCTTCATTCTTGGCTGACAAACGTATTTATTTTGATAATTCTTCGGTTCTGATATTCCTATTTATTTACGCTGCTCGAGAGCGTGCACAATTTGCACAGCTCAAATCAAGAGAAACGCAAACGAAAACATCAGCGCCTCAGATTGAAACATAAACGGAAAATTAGTCATTTTAATGATTCGAACATGCAATTCTTTCGATCATTCTATTTGAAACAATGAATGTAATTGGGCAATTTGATCGAAGGAGGTCAATACGGCTCACACAAGTTACAATCGGTATGCCGTCTAATTAGCCAATTTAGCACTTGGCAGACGATGCAGCTAGCCGCACTTTCAAGGGAACCCAGCAAAGGGTCGAAATATTTTTAGATATTTCTCAATTATTTCGGACAGCTTCCCTTACGTTGCCGAAAACATAAAAGGTTGCACACGCTTTCACAAGGTTTTCTTGTATCTCTTTTTACTTGCAGCCTAAATGTCATAATTCTTCATAATTGTTTATACATTTTTCTTTAAGATTCTAATTAAGATCAATGTAAAGAAAATGGATTATGTTAGATCATTTAAATTTAAAATAACTGACTGAAATTTTTAAATAATTCAGAATTCAAAATAAGTGACTGAAATTTCTTCAACATTTTTGTTTAATGCCACACATGGATATTGTCCTGAAGCAAAAGAAAAGAAAATTCTTAGGAAATTGGATTCCTAGACTCTCTAGTCAGTAGTTTCATAAGGGAATCTTATTCTTTACGAAGGGTATTCGTATCTGCGGCGACTTGAAGACGTGTCCTTGATTCTGGCATAATTCTCAATTTGCTTTATTATATTGTGCTGCATACATTCAGGCGACGGCAGCGTCGGCGAATGCATGAGATTTCCACTGGGGGAGATTTATGAATGAGCATAAATTAGGGGGACTCGTAAATGTTGGCACGCAGCCCCAAATGCCATTGCCACAGTGTAGTGTACTGTGGCCCATTACCGGACCATTCCAACCCGATCCCCGTTCATTATTTGCCTCATGGTGTTTAATTTTGCGTATGAATAGGCAAAGTCAAGGACACAAAACGATGGCGGCGACGGCATTTCACTGTCAACTTCTGCGGCTGCCATTCGGCATACCAATGAGCCCAGCCCTTTCTCTTAATTGAATGCGGCCCTTCGAAAAATTATCACAAAAAGGCCTACCCAAAAGGTCCCCTCACAATGTCAGCTATTTGACACGCTTTAAGCTGTCAGCGGGCTGAATATAAATGCCACAACATTTTTTCCCTGTTGCTCTTTTTTTCGGCCGACCTCTTCAAACCAATTTTCCACCTCGCTCGAAAGCCATTGCAAATTGGGAATATTTTTAAGTCGGAAAATCTGCGACGAGTCTGTCGGCTCTGGATTTTGCTAGCTTAGGCTAGTTTAGACCAGATTTAAAAGGCTTTCAGCATAAATTATAAAATTTAAATAATATGATTGCAAATCTGTTTGGAAAAACCTCAGCAATCCTAATCCCTAAAAGGTCGTTTATAAATATTGAACAGCTTATAAAAGCGATTGCCCGATAAAATGTAGTGCTTTTGAATATAGAAGACTAAATTATGTTGCTTTTGTAAATACTTTTGAGCCTAAAATAATGCAGGCCCTTGAATTTTCACATATTAAAAATTTTATTAAATTTTTTTATAGTTTCAATGAATTTTAAATAAATATTTCTTACTAAAACATTTTTTTTTGGTGATCGTAATTAATCTTGTTGTTGGAAACAACATCTTTTTTAAATCGAAGAGTTTATATTATTTTCTTTGGTTTAGATTATGGTCCTTTAAAAAGAATAACGAATCGCATGCAACTGAACTCTGGTTTTCAATTCGAGTGTGTTTATCCCCTTAAAAATGTATCTAATATAAATTCGGCATATTTACATTTTTTACTGCTGCTTGCTTTTGGAATTTGTGAAATTCCAAAAATTAAAATTCACTTTGCTAGACCGTTTTAAAAGGTGATTTGCGATTTGGAAAATATTTGAAAACGCACGCGACGATGGCCGTTGGTAAATACTTTCCGGGAGATTTCTTTGGAGAACCGTTAGCGCCTAGAATCCTTTGCAGACTGTTTCGGTTGTGGCCAGGTCTTTTGCTTTTATCAAAGTGGAAAACTCAACTCGGAGAGCGTGTAGAAGAGAGCCAAGTGGCGTTTACCCGGGGCCAAATCGAGCGTAGGCGCCGTGTTGCTGCCACATTGGCAGCATGTTGCTGGCAACAAACTGTTGAATTGTTTTTCTTTTTGGCCTGCGATTTCCTGGGCTTTTCTTCCCTGTGGTTTCGGCCCGGCCCGAAGTTCTTTTCATGGCTACGCCAGAATTTGGCTTACTTTTTGTGATATGCCTATTTCAAAGAGAACTTTTCGCCAGCTTTTGCAGTTATCTACAAAGCATCATAAATATAAATACATATGGAAATGATTTCCGGCCATGTTTTCCCCTCATTTGTGGGTGGCTGGGTGGCGATGGGTGGCGATGGGTGGCGCAGGGCTTAATTGTAGTTCCCCCAGGGCCTTTTGACTTTCAATGTTTTATCTGCATGCCATATTATAATTCACTAGGAACGAGCTTCCTTCGGCTGCCCTTCGGGCGCAGTGCGTGTGAGTGGGTGGGTGGGTGTTTAGGCATAGGTTTTCTTTCTCCTTCCCCCTTTCCCTTTTTCCTTTTCTTTTCCCATTTTCCTCGCCAGGCAATGTCAAGTGTTACTCATGCATGGTCGCCGAGCTTTTCCCCGCATTTCTCCCCTAAAATCCACCTGGTTTTCTGCTCGCGTGCTGCTCATTCATTATTCATCTTTTACTTTTTACTTTCTGCCTTTCTTCGTTTTCTATTATACACATGTATGTTTTGTGAGGACTACAATTGTGCAAGGATTTATGTCCAAACCTTTAAAGTTAATTGTTATGACTCTGGAAAGGTTTTCTGTTTGACCGAAACGAAAACTAAGAGTGTTTATTAATCATACGCCCCATGTACGCCATTGTGTGTCTTGTTTGTTTTCTAATCTACGGGTCATATCAAAGGGACAGGACTCGGTCCATTATGCAATTGCTACTGGGCCTCGAGTGGCAGCTCCCAGAACTTTGGAGCTTAATTTGAAAGGTAAATACAAAGGTGAACTTTAAGGCTGGCAGAGACTTAATTCAGAAGGGAAAATTTAAAGCTGTCTGGGAAGAAAATGATTTGAATTTTATATATTTATAAAATGTAATATATATTGCTTACATTTCCCTTTAATTTAATTACGATGTACTCCTCTAAAAACATTATTCCTTTTGTGTATTTAGGCATCTAGTTTCCAGTTTCCAAGAATTCCACTTAATCCAAGACGTGTTTATCTAAATGTAAAACAACTTGACTCCCACATATGTGACTTTTACACTTTGCCTCCTAAATTACCAGATGCTGTAACGCAAGAAGCACAATCTGTGAAACCGCGAAAGCAATCTCATTAGAAATCTCTGTGAAATCCCAGCATTAGCAACTCGGCTCATGAAAGTTGGCCATAAATTTTCCCTACTAATGCGCCGCTTATCACTCAACTGACGAAGGCTAAGAAGCTTTCGCAGGGCCATCGGACTTACAGGGAAAAATTCAAAACAAAGGAAATCATGTGTTTGTTTATTTTGTTCCATTAAAATAATTAAATACCAAATAAATGTGCGCATAGAACAGCAGACCCAAAAAACTCAAAAATAGATTTTAAATAAGTGCCCCAAACATGTGCATAGCCTGAGTTTTTTTTTCACCAAAAGTCTTTGTTTATATTGCTTAATTGGAAGTATTTTTCTGCTTCATAGGTTTAGTTTTTTTATTTAGCTTGGTTTGTTTTTATTATACAGAAAGTAAAGCACATTTTCAATATTGAAAATGTGTAAATTTGTTAATGGGATTTTGCGGGGTCGCATGAATAAAACATTAACCGAATAAAATGTAAAAACGAAATAAAAGAAATTCAAAAAATTTGCCATGCAAATATGTGTATACCGAAGGCAGGCTGGGGAATCACCACGGCATTGGTAATGGTTACCACTTCAAATGCAGCCACAGGCCGCCTCAAATAAATTTTCAAAATTTATCGTGCCCCATACACACACGCTCGCCCCAAAAAAGAGCAAATATTTGCGAAAAAAGTTGGAGATTTTTAAGTTTGGGGTGGTTCTGAAGAGTGATTTTCCTTTTGAGGCACTTAATTTATTGGCATATTCCTTAGGATTGGTAGCATTTTTGCTTTTCACTGTGTTGTATGTATTTTCTTAGTGGCAAATTCGGCCACTTTTTATTTCGGGAACGCTTTCGTGATTGCGATGGAAAACTTTTTATGCAGGCACAATACAATCCCCTTGAATGTGTCTGCCGATATTTTTTCGGTAGTCTGGATTTGTTTTTGTTACTCTAAAGGGGGGTACTTGAGTTATCAAATCAAACTGAAGTTCTATTTGGATTTATTAGGTGAATGATAACTATACTTTAATTAATTTTGTTTAAGAGGGACCTAATTAAAGTTTATATTAACATTGTGATGTATTAGTTACCAAATTATAACGCCATAATTGACTTGTATAAATCTGATACTCAGCAGTAGAGTGTCCTCGGGTTCGGCTTACATTGAACAGACTCCTCCGATTCTTTTGTATTCAACTCGCCATCTTATCAGCATCGGGAAAGCGTATTATATAGTATATACATAGTGTGGGAGGGAGAGAGTGGCGTGGGCGAAAGGGAAAGCAGATTGTGCGGCAGCCGCCCTATAGCTTTATTTATTTCTGTTTACATTGCATTATACATCCTGCAATCAAAAGGACAAAAAGAAACACAATCACCAAAATCAAATTCAGCTTAATTAATTCAAAGTGCAAACATCTAGGAAAAGTCGAGGGGCCGAAACAGAAGGATGAGTAATAGGCAAATCGTGATATCTGGGCAAATTACCTTGGACCCTCGATGGGATTAGGCAGATTGTGGATGTGCCACGCCCCCAATTGTGTAGTTTCAAGTGGTTCGTGCGCCGACTTAGTCGCTGCTTAAGATAATTGCCTTGCTTAATTAGTTGTCCTTTGTGTGAGGGCCCTGGCGATAATTATAAATTAATGCCATTGACAGGGAGGATAATGAATCTAATGGCAGGCGATGCTCTGTGAAATTGAAACGAATTCGTCGGCCAGTTTTGGCATTTTGTAATTGAACGCGTTCGACACGCAGTGAACAGCCGGGAAAAGCCTGCATAAATCAAAACATTTTCCCTCATTCAGTCGGTCGTGAAAATGCCTGCCATCTTTTAGGCGAAAATTGTGTGCGTGTTTTTTTTTCCCGCTTTTTTTCACGACCGTGTGTTGACATCTGCAATTGGCTGCGGGCTGACATTTAACGCTGCACGCAATCGATGGCTTTCACCCTAGCATTTCCCCGCTTTCCGCTTTCCCTTCTGCGGGATTTCCCCTTTTTGTCGTATTTTTGGTAGCTGTTTGTATTTGTTTTTGTCCCCGGGCGATGATTGAGTGAGTGCTTTAGTCGATCGTAAATGCTGCAAGTGTGACTGCAAATATGTTGCAATTTGCAACTGGATTTGGGTCTGTAATATACTCGCCCATAAACAGAATGTCTCTTTGCAGAGTTTGTTGGCCATCGAACATTCCACAGGGCTCTATCGACAGGGAAATCAGTAAATAAATACGGGCAATGGATGTGAAATGAATTACCATATTTTTGCTTTTTGAATGTAGTTGCCAATAATGAAGGGAAAATGCCAGATGTTTCAATTACAACACTGTAATGAGTGCTTTGGGAAGTGGAACTATTTTTCACTATTTTGTAAGATTATATTAACAAATCAATAAGTCCAGCTAAACAGTAGAAAGTGTTCTAATTATTGTACATTTGATTTGAAGCATGACATTGTCTCTTTCGATAACCACATTTAAAGGACATTTGTTTCCTTTAATTAATCATACTTTTTATTCTTCCTCCAAATGACGCACTTCATTTACTTTTGATCAACCATACCATGAGAAAAGTATTCTAATTTAATCATGTCTATCCCTTAAGCTGCTTCCGTTCAACTCAGATTCTCAGATTCCCTGAATCTCAATCACAATTACAAATGGAAGCAAAAGCTGCTCTCAAATTACCATCAACTTCCCAGACATTCGACATTGATCCATTTCCCTTGTTGGTTCCTCTGCTTTTCCTTTCGCTTTTCCTCTTTCCCAGCTGGAATTTCCCCGTTCAGTTCTGCTGCATTTTACTGCTCACCATGTTTTTTGTGGTTTTTGGCACTGACGACCCATTTGGTTTTTCCTGACTGCCACAGGCTATTGGCATAGTCGGGGAAATGCAGGCCCATCTCATCCTTTCTCCTTTCACTCCTCACTTTCGGTTTAAGGATTGATTTTACACTTGTAATGGCAGTAGGATTGTATTTGCCCAAATATATTTTCCATTCTCAAGAATTGGAATTATTGGCTGTTATCGTTTCATACCCTGAAAATTATAGTTTATAATTGCTTGCGGCACTTATGATATACTGACTAAAATGACACTTTTGGAGTCCCTGTCTAAAACTTAAAACTTAAAAAACTTAAATCTTAATAATGTCACCTGTCCAATGCCAATGAAGTTTGTACGCAACGGAATTAAAGCAGCTTATTTTCAATGCTTCTTTTTTGCGGGGACTGACGTTCAGTATTTTCCGTGACGATTCCGTGTCCAATTATACGATGCACCTGACTAAACTGGCTTTAACACTACGTATTTAGTTAATTATCTTTCCAATTTGCAGCGGAAATGAGAAGTGACGTGGCCTCGACTCGTCTAGAAAAGTGGATCATTCGATCATCAGCTGATCATTCAAACTAGGCTTGATGGGCGATATTATACGAGTATCGAATATCGAAAGGCGCGTAAAACAAAATTTTGAATTTTGATGGATGAACATCTAACTCACCAAGGCAACAATTATATGGCGTAAGTTAGATATAGTAACTCTAACGTTAGAAAATTGTAGTTTTACAAACACAAATTTTATTGGAAAATAATAAATTCTATTACTGGAAATTGT